TTTGGGAATTACATACAATATATTTTGATTATATTCAACCCCTTCCCCATTTCCTCTAAGATCCACCCCTACCTCTCTACCCCATCCCCCAACTTTTCCTTTTTAAAGCTCATCAAGTCCATGTTGTGTTCCCCAAATCCTCTTGGGTGTAGGTCTATCCCCTGGAGCACCTACTAGGGGTCACTGTCCCTCTTCCAGCAACTACCAATTGCCAAGTAGCTTTTCAGCTTTGGAGCCAGGCTTCATGCCAACCTCCCCTCTCTATACTGGGCTTGTGTCTGGCTCGAGCTTGTACAGCTCTTATACATGCTGTCACAACCACTGTCAATTCAGATGTGCAACTACCCTTTTGTGTCCAGAAAACAATTTCCCTTGAAGTCATCTACTGCTTCTGCTCTTACAGTCTTTCCACCCACTCTGTGATATAGATGTCCCATCTAGGGCTGAGCACTCCTCAGTCACTGATTCTCTAGTTACCAGTTGTGAATCTGTGTTAATCACCACTAACTGCAAAAAGAGGCTTCTCTGCTGAAACTAGGAGATGTACTAATTTGTGGTTAGAGATCATAGATCCTATGGGAGATCCTACTACTATTATTCTACTAGATGGACATCGTATTAAACCTAGTCAAACGACTTACATTTTACCCAGCAATGATATTCCATTAGGGGAGACCAGCTTCATGCGGAAAAGCTTAGTGTGCTCTCTACTGCCACCTGCTGTTGCCTGTGGGGAAGTCTTCATGTTTCTAAATTTCAGAATAGTCAAATGGAAAGTTAGAAACTAAGATGACTCCCCTCACTTCACTTGATAAAAATAATACAAAAATTCATTTGTTTCACATATATCCCACAACACATGGTAAAGTTTTAAAATTTTAGCCATTTTGGTGGCTTTCTAGTTGGTATCTTCTGGTTTTATTCTGCGTTCTCATGCTAAGATTGGGCATTTTTCATGTGCGCTTATGTATTGTACTTGAGTATAACCTACTCACATCTTCCTGAATACTTTAAATCTTTACTAGATTGCTTATAATGCCTTCTATAATGTAGGTGATATATAAGTAGTTGTTAGACTGTATTATTTATGGCATAATGAAAAAGAAAAAAAGTCTATATATTCAGTATGGACAAAATATTATTTTTGGCATGTAGTTGAGTCATTGGATCTCAGATGTGAAGGGCTAACTGTATTCATTTGTAGATAGGAAAAGTGTGTTAGTTTTTGTTCCTGTGACAAAATAAGAAAACTTAGAGGAAAATTTTGTGTTCATGGTTTCAGAAGTGTCATTTCATAATCAGTCAGCTTTGTTGTTTTGGGGTTGCATGAGGTGAGGCAAAACACATGGTGAGGGCATACAACAGCACAGAGCTGCTTACCTCACGGCAGCCAGGAAGCCCAGAAAGGAAGGAAACAGGGACATTCAGAAAGCACTCCAAACCCACCAAGATCCCACTTCCTTCAACCAGGCCCCACCTCCTAATCGACCCATTCTTTATGATCTCATCAATGCATTAAGGCATTGATGAAGTTAAGGCTTCCGTGATTCAGCCACCTCTCAGTAGCACCACCACCTGAGAACCAGGCTTTCAATACACCAGCCCTTTGGGGAGCACATTTCATATCCAAACCCAGCAGCAATAAAGTTAGCTTGGCTAAACTCATAATTGCGATATGGTTTGATGTAAGCATCTTGAAGGATGTAGCCCCTTATTTTCAAGCTTGTTTCCCTCCAAAATCCCCAAATGTGCTGTTCTGTGTCCCTTTGTGTGATGATCAGTCAGGCACAGCTATGAGGGCGACACGTGAACATTCTTTTCATAGGTTCTAGAAACATAAGGCACAGTGCAAGGTAACATGGGAAAGCAACCGTCAGAAAGCAGGGGTTAGGGGGTTCATAGGGGCTTTATTTGAGGTATCAAAGGAAAAGGTGAGGCAAGGCAGGGCAACTGGCTTAGAACAGGATAGCCTGAATGATTCTAGTGGGCTCTGAGCTCCACGGTGGTTCCTCTTATTTCCTGGCCCTGGGATGATCAAGGCAGAGGAATACTGCCTCCTGGAGCATGGCTCAGGATAGATTAGTTCACATAATACATCGAAGGAATGCCACTGCCTGAGCCCTCACTACTCTAAGAAGGAACAGTCTCTCCCCAGCCAGAAAGATTAAGATGCCAAAACGTTATAACATACTGGAAAAAAAAAAAAAAAAAAAAAAAAAAAAAGAAGAAGAAGGTGCAGAATGTGTATTCTAGTCAAATTACTGATACTACCTGAAACTGCTACATGCTTCCTGGTCTCTAACAACATACAGTTCTTCACTTGAATGTACTAGATTTTTGATTTACCTAAAATGTTAGGTCGGTGGGGGGGTGGAGAGTTGGCTCAGTGGTTAAGAGCACTGACTGCTCTTGCAGAAGACCCGGGTTCAATTCCCAGCATCCACATGGCGGCTACAAACTGTCCTTAACTCCAGCTCCAGGGGAATCTGAAGCCCTCTTCTGACCTCTGCAGCATTGCACGACATGGGTGCACTCACATACGTGCAGGCAATACACTCGTACACATAAAATAAAAAAAATAATAAAATTTAAAAACAAGTCAGGTCGGTATGACACTTTGAGGCTGAAGCCTGATGACCAATGGGTAGTTATTTTCTTATATCATGTCTTTGTGACTGTAGTTGTAATATTGGTTAATAGTCCCTTTTCTTTATTAATACAACCTTTCTAAAGGGCCAGGAAGTGGGAAGAGGTGTTGAATACACGAATGAGCAAATGAAAGCAAGGCCCTCTCCCAAGGATGACAGTCCACTCTTGCCCTTTTTCTCCACCCTGTGTCATGACCTGAGTCTCTAACATGGGGTGTGACAGTCCTTCCTTGCTGCTCTTCTTCACCTCACACTGTGACCACTACCAGGGTCTCCCTGTGCTGGGCCGGAGTAGCTGAGGAAGGCTTGGACTCTGTATCAGCCAGTTATTGATACCACTAATCTGAGTTTTAATATCATGGAATGAATTTATTGGCAAGGCAGAAAACGTTTTGAGACAGATATTTGAAACAAAAACTGTACGAATTTAGTGTTAAAAATAAAAATTCCAACATTCATAGCTTACCATTTTAAGCTTTTTTATTTAGTATGTGTGGTATTGGGGATCAGATCCAGAATCTCATGCATGCTTGGCAAGTGTTCTGCCACTAAGCTGGACCTCTAGACTCCAGTTGTAAGCATATCTTAATATACTAAGCCTTGCAGCGCCCCAAGTGGCAAGCAAAGGGTGCTGTTCCCACTGGAAAAACATAGAATGAAGTTCTACAGTGACAAATTGGTTCATGTTCCAAAAGGCCCCGGCTGGGGCAAAACTCTAATTTGAATCAGGGCTGCTTCTACTAAGCCCGGAGTCTCTTCTGTGAAGCCACTCTGCCCATGGCTCTGTGACTTCATTTACTTCCCTCAGCTGATGTTGGTCAATATTTACAGATAAGAAAAAGGATAGGTGCTTCCTGTTTGAAATCACTGAGCCTATGGTCACTATGAATGTGCCACATGTAGGTCCCCAGCTTGACCTCCAAAGGAGGGTGGTGCAAGGAAGAAAGCACGTGAACCCTCAAACGGACGCCTGTTACAGAAGGACTTTGGGGGACTATGTATTTCTAAGAAGAATACAAAGAACACAGCAGCTTAAAAAAAAAAAAAAACTTTCTAGGGTTTGTTTCATTATGAAATGAAATGAAATGAAATGGGCAAGAGACAAAGCAAATGTTTCTGGGGCATCAGTAAAATTGGGAAGGGAGTGACAGAAACAAGTCAAAGGTAATGAATGGACCGAGGGGAAAATCATGCACATGACCACAGGCTTTAATGTGGCAATGTGAACACTGGCACCCAGCGTATGAAAGCTTGAATATACTTACCTAATCAACATACAAATAATATACAAATTAATTCAGAATGGACTCTTAAATATTTTCTCTTTTATCAGCAAATGAGGCACCAGACCCTGAATTGTGAAATTTAAAGCACTCACACTTACACTAACCATTCATATCTGGAAGGAAGGCTGAATTTCTTCTGAATGGGTGGTTTTAAACATCTGTGCTGCTACATTTATTTACTTCTGTCGCTTTTATAAAGACATTTCTGTTCTGTGGCCCTGGGGAAGCTGCAGTGCCAAAGACTCAACTTATTACTTCTTCTTTCTGCTTAGTCATCCACAAAATTCAGGGGAAAGTGAAAGATTCAACTTAGGCAATGGCCAGGAACCCTGTTCTGACAGTGCTGTATTCTCTGTGCTAGTTCTTCTGGTATACATGAATCAAATAAAAAATAGAAACAACAAATGGGGGCTGGAGAGATGGCTCAGTGGTTAAGAGCACTGGCTACTTTTGCAGAGGACCCAGGTTCCCAGCACCCACATGGCAGCTAACAACCATCCATAACTCCAGTTCCAGGGGATCTGACACCCTCTTCTGACCTCTAGTTCCAGGGGATCTGAGATCCTCCTCTGACCTCCACAAGCACTGCATGACACAGGTGCACTTACATACGTGCAGGCAATACACTCACACACATAAAATAAAAATAAAATATTAATAGCTGGGCATGGTGGCACATGCCTTTAGTCCCAGCACTCGGGAGGCAGAGGCAGGCAGAGTTTGAGGCCAGCCTGGTCGACATAGTGAGTTTCAGGCCAGCTGGGGCTACAGAGAGACCCTGCTTCAAAAAGACCAAAAAAAACTGGCCCCTTAACAGAAAACCAAGTTCTTTTTGAATAATAAGAGCAGAGACTATAAGAGTGTTATCAATGGAGCTGAAGAGATGACTCAGGGATTAAGAGCACAGCCTGTTCTCTGAGAGCACCAGGATTTTATTCCCAGTACGCACATGGCAGCTAATAATTGTCTGTAACTCCAGTTCCAGGGGTTCCAGTGCCCTCTTCTGACTACCGCAGGCATTGCATGACACAGGTGCCCTTACATACATGCAGCTAGTATATTCATAAAAAAAAAAAAAAAAAAAAAAAGCTACTGACTTATGAAGCCCAAATTTGCTTTCAATTAATTTCCTTGTCAATATAACATGATGAATTTACTCTTTGTTATTTATAATATTTACACATGATTAAAGAGCACCACTTTGAAGGAGTACTCTTAAAATATTAAAATGTGTAAAAAAATGCTATACTGGGAAAAATGTGACACAGCTTTAAAAGTGTCAACGATCAGAGATGGAAAGACTAAAGTGAACAGGTGGGTAAGGTAATTGATTTGTACCTGGTGTGCACTGCTTCAAGTGATGCCCAATAGTGAATTAGTCCACCGACAAGCAGGGCGAGCTATGAGAATGAGGCACACCAAGTCAGCAATAATACAAACCAAAGTTTTTAAGTACATCTGAAAACATCTTTTAATATTTAACCGTAAATGTCATAACATTAGTTTTTACTTAAAATCAAATAAATTTGTCAGTGTGAGAAAATGTAAGCAAATCAAGTTCTGAAATGATCTAGGAAGGAAACTGTTTTGATTATCATCAGTACGTGCTCTGCTGAGCAGCATTTGGATTGCTTTGCACATTGTCAGAGTTAATGCATTACTTAGTGAATTAAATACAAATTGTAATGGGAAAATGTTACTTTCTATTATATCACACATTTTACAAGTTACAAAAACAAATCTTTCTGTAGATTAAAAAACCAAATGAAAACAGAATAATATGCATTACAAGTTTTAAAAAACATAACCTGGTATCAAGGCTTTGCTATCATTATAGAGTCCTTAAGTTCTCTAATCATAGTTAAATCAGAAATCTTTGATCCACCAGTGTTTTGGTTGCCAAATTCTTTTGTCCTACTGTATTGCGGATAAATCGAAAAATCTGGAAAAGTAAAATAATTAAGAAATGAACTATTTAAAAAGAAAATTAAATGTGCAAACCAATGAAAATCTCTAAATTAGATTAGCTAAATTTCTCAAGTATTTCTTTTTATGTATCAGATATTTGAGTTCCATAGTGAAACACAAAATTATTTTAAAACTATTATAACTCACTTGGAAAATACCTTTATGAATTAGTAATATATGTATATATCTATATCTATTTATATAGATATATCATGCTCACAAGAATATACTTTTAAATACTTGGGCAATTTTTTCCTGACTCCCTAAAACTATGGATACATCAAAAGTATCTGCTTGGTAAGGGCAGATTTTGTCCATGGTTTAGATCTCTACCCAGGAATAAGAATTTAGATGCCACCTTGGGTACTGCCTTGAAGCAGCAGGGGGCATTTGGGTGCTGTCAGTAACATTTCAAGAAGCACAGCTGCTGTTCTGGAGCTCTCCATTTCAGACTTCATCCACTCAGCTCTGATCCACACAGGTGAGGCTGTGTGATTTTGGTGTGGAGCCCTGAGCTGCATCTTCAGTGCTTGCTTTTTTGTCATGAATGGGACTCCTTTTAAAATTAGTGCTCACTTTTGGTATGTCAGAGACTGGAGTTAAGACTTAACCTAGTTGCTCCAGAACTTCTTTCCCCCACCAGATCCTAGTATTTCATTGTCCCTAGGGACAGAGGACAGAGCGTGGTGTACTGAACAGCTCCTTCTTTCTTTTGGTAGGATAATCATAGTCTAAGCCTTTACAAAGTCCTACTGTAAGTAAACACTGCTACATTCTCTTCTAGCATATCTGTTTTAAAAGAAACCCAGAATATCTTCAGAAATTTACCTCTTGTTGTAGATATGTAAGGATGGCTGCCAAAACAAAATTCTGCCAAGCCAAATCCACGACGCAGAAGAACAACAGATCAAAAATCAGAAGCGTAGCCTCATTTCCATAATATAGCACACTGCTGAAAGAACAGCTTTCGTCTATAAAAACAATTTATAAGACATCACAATTAAAAGTGGAACAAGTCTGGGATAAATTTCTGATGATAAACTTTGGGTACTTAAAACAGCATGCTAAAACTAGTGCTATATGCAATACTTTATGGCTTATACAAAATTAAAAGGTATCAAGTTTTGCTAATCTGAAATGTTAGTCAAAGATCTCATTAAAAACACAGAAGCAGTTTTAATGCTAAAACCAAATGCTGGTAATTTTTAGTAGTGTATGTATATTATGAATACCTTCTAAAAATCAAGTTAACCAACTTCTTTTCTGTTTATATAACCAAAGGCTAAATCAATCTTAGATTCTCTAATATAGCATAAGTTAAAAAATAAAAGATAAGCCAGGCATGGTGCTCGATGCCTTTAATTCCAGCTCTTGGGAGGCAGAAGCAGGTGGATCTCTGTGAGACTGAGGCCAGTCTTGTCTACGTAGCAAGTTCTAGACCAGCTGGGGCTACAGGGAGACCCTCCTTCAAAAAGCCTAAAAATTAAATAAATAAATAAATAAATAAATAAATAAATAAATAAATAAGTAAATAAAATCCAGCAAGGCATAGAACATAGTGTTCCCAAGTTTCTTACATATAAGTAAAACAAAAATAGACCTATTTCACATGTTCCCCTGGTGATTTCTACTAAGTGCTCCAGTGATACCACAGGACACTCCCTCAGCTTACTGTGCATCTTCACTTTCTCTTAAGAGCTGTTCCCCTACATTTAAGGCCTTACTGGACACCTCTTTCTAGGTGTCCTTCAGGACTGCCAAATACAGCACAATGAAAACAAATATCCTTTTTCCCTCAAAACCTGGTCCTCTGCCAGGCATGGTGGCACATGCCTTTAATCCCAGCACTCAGGAGGCCAAGGCAGGCAAATCTCTATGAGTTCAAGTCCAGCCTGGTCTACAGAGTGAGTTCCAAGCTAGCTGGGGCCACAGGGAGACCCTGTCTCAGCACCCCCCCCAAAAAAAAAATCCCAAACCCAAACAAAACTGGTCCTCTTCATCTGCATTCCTTGATTTAGGGAAAGGCATTACTAGTACCCTGTCACACAGCTGGAAGTCTGAATAAATTTTGGCTTCCCTCCTTCCCTCTCTTCTTCATTTCTTCTTTTTTGGGGGGGGAGAGGTGTGTGTGTGTGTGGTGTATGCACATGCATGTGTATGTGCCTGCACACGCATGTGGACACCAGAGGAGGGCATTAGGCAGCCTTCTCTGTCACTGCCTGCCTTTTCCTTTGAACCAGCGTCTCTCCCTGAACTTAGAGCTACGCTGGTGGCCAGCAAGCCTGTTACCCTCCTATCTCTGTCCCTTGCCCCAAGTGCTAGGGTTACAGATGCTCACGTGGCCATGTCCAGCTTTTAATGTGGGTGCTAGGGATCTGAATTCAGGTCCTCATGCTTGCACAGCACTTATCCAGCGTCATCTCCCCAGTCCCTTTCTCCTTTTTTGATGAGATTTCACCATGTTGTCCAGGTTGCCCTCTGACTCAGTTCTTCTTACCTTAGCCTGCTGATCAGATGGAATTGCAGGGTACACCTGCCCAGCTCTGCCCACTCTTTCTGCCTCTCTTTTCTTAACACCTCTGGTAATCCCTTTTTCTTCTTTGTCCCTATTCCTACTGCCTTACCCATGTTCTCATCATCTCGGGAGGAAGAGCAAGGCATAGAAGTGGATGACAGAAAAAGGAACAAGGGGACTAGGAGGAAGAACAAGTGAAAAGGGAAGAAAGAAGTAAGGACATACAAAGAGGATGGTACTTTCAGAACACCCCTCTCCTGGGCACCTACTTAACACCTCTCTGCTCAGCACCTACCGTAAGATGGCTCTGCGGAGCATCTACCATAGCACTGCTCTGCTGAGCACCTTCCCATAACACTCCTTTCCTGGGAAACTACCCGTAACACCTCTCTCTTGGGTACCTACCTATTACACCCCTTTGCTGAGCTTGAAGAACATGGACTAAACTAAGTGCTAAAGCCTAATCACGTTATTCTTTAAATATTTCATAAATCTGCCACTAAACACACATTCCAATAAAATTTGAATTTCATGTATTTATTTTTACTATCTCTTTGAGTTATACCAGTAATTCTGAAATTCAGACATTTTGCTCTCTTGTAATCTTTTATGTTTGTCTCTTGTCATATAACATAATTGAATGGAACACAAAAACTACTATAGTTTCATGAGATTGAGTTCACTGTTTCCTTTGTTTCTATATAAAATTATAAAAACCAAAGGAAAAATATCTACAAGTACCCCCCCCCTCCAATGCCAAATATCCCTTGAAAACAGGAGTCAAGCTGAGCAAGGGCATTTGAAGAGTACCATTGTAAAAGATGCTCTTTTCCATGGGTTCCATGAATTCCATCCCAAGAATTCTTTCAAGGAGCAACTTATCCTTTATAAAATAATCCATTTCCTTATGAACCTAGTATGAAAAGGCAGTTATATAAAAAACAACAAAAGAAAATGCTTCTTAATTCATGTAAAATCAGAAGTAGAAAAAATGAGGAATGAACAGTATGCAAAGAAAAACTTTAGTAAAACAAATTGCTATAGTAGTATTTATAATAAGATTCTCTTTAGACATGCTCAAAATCTCAAATGCTGTTAATAAGACTTAGAACTGCATATACTAAAAACTAATTTATAACATGCTTCTTAGGAACACGTTCATAGAGGGTTCCAATAATGAGAAATCAATAACATTTTAGTAACAAAATTCTAGTATAGATATATTTAAGGGAATTATCATTTGCTAAAAGACACATAAAATCACATTTTTCTTTTATATAAACTGATTTTATCCCTAAACCATAAATTTTCAGTGACTACAGATGTTTTTTAAAAAATCCTTCCTAAGTATTAAATGTGACAGATAACAAGCAAACAACAACGACAAAAACTGACAAAATAGGTGTTCACTGACAAGTGCTATGAAGGGGGAAATGGGAAAAACGGGAAGGAGAGACTTAGCTGAGGAGCAGGCGGGAAGGAAGGAGGAGAGATAAATATATATGTTTATCGTTTCTAAAGTGGCATTATCCCACATGGGTGATAATACTTCCCCCAGGAGCCATGGACTATCTAGCAAAAGCCACAGTGCCAGGCACAGGATATTTCCCTTTGAGTTGTTGGTTGGGGTGGGGGTGGGGTCCAAGAGACTCCCCAAACAATATGCTATTGCCATTGCCCTTGGCTGCCTCCCAAAGCTTAAAGATAAGACCCTATTGCCCGGCACTGTAAACCTAGTCAAGCACCTGTGGCTAAAGAGGTCACAGACCCTAGAGAAGAACCTAGTGCTGCCATTTTCCTAAATCAATACCACTTCCAACCGTGTTCTAAATACTAATCCTTAACCCCACAGATAAGTGTCACTCTCATTTCTCATCAAAGAAGGTTCTTTTTGCAGCAGATACAGGCTACCAAAGAAATCTACAACTGATCAATATGCAGAGAATTTAGTGACCATTGCCTGCCTATAGACTAGGTTATGAATTAGGGAGGGGGGTGGGGGATACAGGAAGAGTTAGGGGGAAGAAGGAGTGGAAATGATGTAAATATAGAGTACTAATGTATGAAATTCTCCAAAAATTAAAAAAAATTAAAAAGAAAATATAATTGACATTCCCATTTAACTTTTTAAAAACTACATGTGATGCTAGTTTTGTAGCCCGAAAATTATTCATTCCTCCGAAAACAGTGAGCCTATGGAGGAGAGTAAGTCAGCTAGGGGTGAGACGAGAAGCACCCTGGAAAGACAGATGGAGACTGAGCAGATGGAGAGTTTGCAGCCGCGATATTGGAACTCTGAGAAGGATGGGGAATGGCAGGGCATCCCATGGGCCGTGGCATGGGGCTTGAATGGCACAGGGGTTATGAGAAGCCGTTTCTTTGTAAGTCACCCTCTCCCAAATGTCATATAAACTATGCAAAACCCAAAATAGAAATGTGTTATGTGAGTTTTGAGTTTTGTTGATTCGTGTCAGGACCACGAGACTCCGGTGACTGAGGGCCAGTCTCAGGGCCAGTCTCCCAGAAGGCAGGAAGGGAAAATTTAGTGAAACAAATTGTCGTAGTCCTGCAGGATGATGCTGGAAATGATGCTCACATGGCTCATACAATGGATCATAGAATATGTAACTAAAACGATGCGAGCCACATAGATGTGGACGGACTCAAAGGGGAAAATCCCTGGGCTGTGCTGTAAATGTGGGAAGATAGCTCAGTTGCTTGAAAAATGGGGCCCACTGCCACATGGGTCTGAAAAGATTTAAGATATAATCTTAAATATAATCTTTAAAATATAATCTTAAAGATTATAGAGAGCTTGGAAAAAAATCTTACAAGCCAAAGAGGAAAACAGAGAGGGGGTGTGGCCACTACTCTGCATAATAAAAGATTTACCCAGGGCAGAGGACACTGAAAAGCCTAAATTCATTCTCAGTTTCAGAGCCTGAGCAAAAGAAAAAAGATAGATTTTAACTTGCTTAGGGTTAAAGCACCCAGGGGAAAAGACAGATAGTAATGAGAAAAGAAATGACCTAAAAATAAAAGTAGCTAAAGCTGCCCCCTGAGATTCAACCTTTAATACAAAAAGAGAAAAAAGTTAACAGTATCATAACTAGGAGAAAATACTCCACACTGGAGCTGTTGAGACTAGGAAAGACTTACAAACAAGCGATCAAAGAGCCCCTCACCACGTGGCTCATGAGGGTATATGGGACATGGGAGCAAATAATGTCAGTCTAAGTCCTTCAGAAGCTTCACAGCTGAGTTTATAACCACCCATCCATCCTTGTGACATAGACTGTTCAACCTAGGCCAATGCAGGGGGGAGCAGTCCTTAATGGGGTGGCTGGTGCAAGGCATTAAAGATACATGGTCATTATGAAGGGAAATTCCCATAATTAACAAAGGTTGGAGGACTAGAAAGGAGGGACAGGCATTACTGAAAGAACTAGGTATGAAAAAAAGCAATATATGATGTTCAGTTTGCTGAGCCAGACAGGGCTATGTTCACCAGAGATATAAAGGAAAACTTCATTCAAATGGGACCTCAAGAATGGTATAGAGCTTTAATGGTTTTGCTAAGTCTTTTAATGGGACAGGATCTTTGTAAAGTGAGAGAGGCTTTAGCAGATCTAAGTGACTCTGACCAGCATGTAAAATGTGTCTGTAGAATAATAGAATAGCCTACAAGAGCTATAAAAAGGGCCAGACAGAAGAAACGGTCCATTTGGGTTACTCAAAGACAAATGTGGCAAGATTTATGTACACATAAATCAAATTCCCAAAGAAAAAATTGATAGAAAACCAAATTTGGTACTACGGAGTTTCTGGAAGGCTTTAAAACTGGAAGAATAGTTTACAAAACACATTCAAAGGATTAAAAACTGTCCCAGGGTGGTTAAGGATCCCCAAAGCTTAAATAAGGTGCATTTCTCTCCTGAGAACGGCTATGTTAGGTGGAGGCAGTTTTTCCCACTAGGGCCTCCCCCAGCAGGTATGGTCAATGGAAAGGTGGCAGATATGGCTACAGCCAGGAGGCAGTCCCAGGGCCTGCCTGACTCGGAACCAACAGGTGCAGCAGGGACAAGAGAGACCCTCTGCTTCCTTAGCCCAGTGAAGGGTCAGGCAACTGGAGCCAACACCTGTAAGTATCAAGGATAAAAGAATACAAAGAGGCTGGGCATGGTGGCACTTGCCTTTAATCCTAGCACTTGGGAGGCAGAGGCAGGCAGGTCTCTGTGAGTTCAAGGCCAGCCTGGTCTACATAGTGAGTTCCAGGACAGCTGGGGCTACAGGGAGACCCTGTCTCAAAAAAAAAAAAAAAAAAAGAAAGAAAAAAGAATACAAAGAGACTCCATGCAAAATCCCCAGAATGCAGAATAACTCCAGAGGGATAACTAAAGATAGTAACAAAACTAACCAAATTAATGCCTCTTACCCATGCTATTGTACCTAACAAAAATCTATGGAGAAAACAATACAAATGGATAAAACCTTTCCATGCTGTGTTAGACCTTGTCTATGATTGATTTAATATATGATGTTAACCTTTGAGTGTTTTACAGATGTGAAACCCATTTGAAAGATACCTGAAGAAACAAAGGCAGCTATAGCTGTAAGATTCTTGGGAGTTTTATGGTTGGGTAAGATAAAAACAGAGGCTCCCAAAACTACACAACTCTTAAGAAAATCTACAGTACCAGGGGTGCGTTGTCCCCCTATGAACTGTTGGTCAGAGAGAGATCCTAGAGGTCCTCAAATTAACCAAGGCTATTGCCACTAATGTCGGTTGTACACTAGAGAGGTCAGTAAGGCCATGTTGCTGAAGACACTGCATGATGTGAGTGCAGGAGAAGACAAAATGGAGAAACAAAAAACTCCATGCCACTGAATGGATGGCTTTTATAGTGCCAAAAGGTGCTATACAGATGATTGGGAGAAAAGGATCCCCTATGATTTTGCTCAACAATGGACCCCACGTGCTGCACACTATGGGCATGCCAAGCAATGCCTGCTAGTGCAATAATGGCTTGACTAACATACGTACAACTGACAAATTTCTAATTGGATAAGGCCCACTCCTCGGGGTGGAACACACATCTGGTGCGGTAGACCAGGCCAACCCCCTGTGTCAGGGAAGACTACAGGCCCAGCGGGGAAGCCCTTGGAAGTATACTGTTTAATGAATATGGTACACCTACTGGGATATCTTCTAAGCATTTGTATTTACATTCATATTTGTTTATATGTGTCCACTTCCTTCCACTTGTCTTTATAGTAGGGGAAACACCACAGAGATAGATCAGCGGCCACGCCTTGATGGGGAGGCCCAAGAAGTCAGTATCTCGCCATGATAAAAGAGAGATCGCCCTGCATTTGTCACACCCTCCAAGGCTCAGGGAAATTTGTGGAAGAGATGGAGGAAAGTTTGTAAGAGCCAGAGGAAAGGGGCGGAGTGTAGCTCAAAAATTACTCATTCCTCTGAAAAGAGTGAGCCTATGGAGAGTAAGCCAGCCAGGGGTAAGACAAGGAGCACCATGGGAAGAAAGATGGAGACTGAGCAGATGGAGAGTTATCAGCAGCGATAGTGGAACTCCGGGAGCAGGGCATCCCATGGGGTGCGGCACGGGGCTTGAATGGTGCAGGGGGTTATGAGAAGCCATTTCTTTGTAAAGTCATCCCCTTCCAAATGTCATATAAACTATGCAAAATCCAAAACAGAAATGTGCAATGCTAGTTTTGTTGATCTGCGTCAGGACCACAAGACCCCAGTGACTGAGGGCCAGTCTCCCAGATGGGGGGAAAGGAAAAATTTAGCGAAATAAGCTTAAATACAAATATTGATTTACATACATGATCGATGAAAGAACCAAGAAACTTATTCATTGCATGATATGCTTTTATACTCTGCTCAAAAGTACTTGCTGATGAACTCAACAGTCTAGCAGGGCCATTTTTCTAATATAAAAAAGAGAAATGAATAAATACAATGTCTTATGTTTTGGTACGTCTTATGTTTTGTCTTATGTTTTGCCACAGTAAGTGTGGCAAAATATATCTGAACAATACTTTATACACACCCTTGTTAGTGTCTCATGAATTCTGTCATAGTGTTGTCTCATCTGACTAGAAACCGCAATCTGAAAGGTCTGACCATCTGTGTTGGGTACCAAACCTCTTTGGCTACACAAATTTTCCTGAAAAAAAAATTAAGGAATTTAAATTAAGATATAAATGATATTTAAAAATCTATCTCAAAAATAAAATATAGCCATTTTTCTTTTTTTTTCAAAAATATTTTATTAATTTTATTTTATGTATACGAGTGTATTGCCTGCACGTAGGTAAGTGCATCTGTGTCGTGCAATGCCTGTGGAGGACAGAAGAGGCTGTCGGATCCCCTGGAACTGGAGTTACGGACAGTTGTTAGCTGCCATGTGGGTGCTGGGATTTGAACCCAGGTCTTCTGCAAGAACAACCAGTGTTTTTAAATGCTGAGCCATCTCTCCAGCCCCAAGCATTTTTCTTTAGTTGGTATCACATATTACAAGATTCAGAAACCTAGTAAAATTTACTGAAACTGTATTTGAGATTAAGATTTAACATTATTCAAGGGTCTCGTTCCCCTTCAGATCTTACTATGTTCTAAAACATTCTAATTCAAACTTCCCTACATGTCTTCACATGATCTCCTTTACTCTGCTCTAATTAAAACCACTGAGCTCATTGTCCACTTAATATTTTTAGCTTCATTGTGATTAACCTTACTGTTCTTCAATGTCTGTGAAAAACTCCAATTTGCTAGTTGTACAGTTATAAGTGGTCTTTTTTTCTAAACACTTTAAAAATACTTAGTTAATTGGCTCTAATGAGGAGGCAGTGATACATGACTGAAGAGTGAGTGCCATGGTCAGGCGGCCTCCTCATCGGTGTCTCATGGTTCCTTCAGGTGCTTGCTGCTACCCACTTCAGGATTTAGGATTCTCCCTTTCTGTCTGAACCTAATCAGTAAACACAGTACAGCACTTGGTTCCCATAAAGTTAAAGGAAGAATACATACAATGAGTTCTTCCATTTTAAATAATTTTTTTAATTAGAAATATTGCCACTATGGAGAATTTACAAAATAAGGGGAGGTACTAGGAAAAGAAAAGATTAGCTATAATTTCAATACCCAGAGCTAAAGATATTTAAAGCATTTCATTTCCAGTCTTTTTTCTAGGTCATACACACACTGATAGAAAAAAATTGTGATCACATTGATTTTTTAAAATTTAACATCATATTCTGTGTCATTATTATATTGTATAAAACATTTTTATATAAAACATTTTAACACTTCAGATTTCATTGTAAAGGCAAACCAATTTACATAATAACCCCCAATTTTCACCTTGTCATAAAGGTCTTAAATCTAATTTCGTTATTCTTGGTTTGAAGTTGTCCTTGAGTTAAATTCAGAAAACCAGTAAAAGGTTATGAGCTCTTAAAAAGCCCTTGGTTTATATGACTCAACTGCTTCCCATTTGTAAAAGTTTACTCTAATTCCAATTGTTTCTATGGGTTTCTGTTCCTCTGTGTCCTTATTAACTATTTAGCTTAAAAAAAAATAAGGATGCTAAGTTGATGAGGTGAAAACCATGTTTTTGGTTATCAATATCTGACTCATTTGTTATAAGCATTTTACTTCAATTTGCTATCTTGTATTTATGATTGATATGTATATATTGTACTAAGTAAAATCAATTAATATTCTCTTCTTGATGCTTTCTGATTTTTTTATGCTTGTAATGCTATTCCTCAATTGGAAATATTCTTTTCCAGGTGCTTATGGTTTTAATTTTTATAGGTAGCCTTGAAGTCCAATGTAATTTCCAGTATCTAACCAAGCAGTTTAGCTCATGAATTCTCAGAGATGTCATGATGATGTACTGAGTTCTTTTAAGTCACAGATACGGTCTCTTAATCAATAAATTCTCTAAAGTTTCTTTCTTAAGTATACCTCGTTCTTCTTTTAAATTTTATTTATTATTTTTATTTTATGTGTACATGTGTATTGCCTGCAATGTAGATAAGTGCACCTGTGTTGCGCAATGCATGCGGAAGTCAGAAGAGGCAGTCAGATTCCCCTGGGACTGGAGTTACGGACAGTTGTTAGCTGCCATGTCGGTGCTGGGATTCAAACCTGGGTCTTCTCCAAGAACAACCAGTGTTCTTAACCGCTGAGCCATCTCTCCAGCCCCGACCTTGTTCTTTTTTAAAATTTATTTTTATTTTATGTGTATGAGTGTTATGCCTGTATGTATGTAAGTGCATCTGTGTCTTGCAACACCCATGGAGGTTAGAAGAGGGCATCAGATCCCCTGGAGCTGGAGTTATAGAGGTTGTTAGCCATTATGTGGGTGCTAAGATTTGAACCCAGGTCTTCTGCAAGAACAGCCAGTGCTCTTAATTACTGAGCTAGCGCTCCAGCCCCAATACCTTGTTCTTTTAAAAACTGTGGAAGCTCTCAGCATATATAGTAAAACAGTAAATCATCACCTAGATCCAGTAATTACCAACATTTACCCATCCTTGTTTCATTTCTCTTCTTAGAGTATTTTAGAGCAGACTCCAGGTTGTATCTTTTCAGCTATGAAACTCTAATAAGGTTTTAAAAAAAAATAACTACAATGCAATTTTTGTTGGTTGGTTTGTTTTTCTGAGAGAGAGTCTCTCTGTAGCCCTAACTGGCCCAGAATTCACTATGTAGAACCAGGCTGGACTAATTGTCACAGAGATCCACCTGCCTCTGCCTCCCCTATTCTGGATTAAGGCTACAACACCCAGCCTTGTCATGCCATTTTTTATACCTAACAAATTTAATCATTGTTTAACATAAGTTAACATTAAGTCCATTAAATATTTCAGATTTTTTTCAAAGACTTGTTTGTCTGAGTCAGGATCCAATTTCTTAAACTTCTCTTGGTATAGAGCAGCTGTTCTACCACACCATCACCCTCCTCTGCTTTTCATGTCACTGGCTTGAAGACACTGAGTCATTTGTCCTGTAGGGCATGTTATACTCCGGATCTGGCTAAATACTTCCTTCAGTGCTATTTAGGTTGTCCTGCCATTCTCTGCATTTCCTGTAAAACTGTGGTTACATGCAGGGGCTTAGTGATATTCAGGTTCAGTTTTCTTAGGCACGACTATTTCACAGGTCATGTGATATACTTCCTGCCAGACTGTATCAGGAGGCGTATAATGTTAGCTTGCCTCATCTTTCACTTATTGAAAACCAGAGTCAGTGTGTCTGGATTATGTCGGCCTGATCCTTCATTATGAGTTCCCATTAACATTCACTTGTTTTAAAAATCACCCACAGCCTACACTCATCAGTCACTGTAAAATGGTACTTTTCTCTTTAAAAATCCCTTCTACTTTCCTCTCCAAGGAAGAACTTTCATGTGTTACTTGATTGCTTTGGAAAACTAGTTCATGTGGGCACTACAGGACAAAAGCAGACTCTGTTTATTGAGGGGAATGAGCTGCTGCCCTAGCAACTTTCAAAAGTGGCCCATGAGGATTTAAGTTTTTAACTTAAAACAAAAAGCTGTAGAAGGCATTCATACCGCTTCTCTTTTAAGATTCATGTTCATTTCTTCCATGTTAGTATCTGCATGCCCATGGACTGATCTACCATGAATGTAATATCCAAAACATCTGTGGGACAACAGGAACACTGAAATCTACAGAAAGAAAACAAAAAGGAACAACCAACAACTCATCCATAAACAACAAAGACAGGGGGCTGGAGGGAGTGCACTGGCTGCTCTGGCAGAGGACCCAGGTTTGATTCCCAGCACCCACGTGTCAGTTAACAATAGACTGTAACTCCAGTTCCAGGAGATCCAGTGCCCTCTTCTGACCTCTTTAGATATTGTATGACATGCGTGCACTTATATACATGCAGATAAAACTCTCATACACATAAAATTAAAAACAGAAGTTTTTCTTAAAATTGCTTCTCCCCCCTCCCAAATACTGAGGATTGAATTCTAAAGAAAGTTGTGAAAAGGATAAATCAAGGTAGCAAAGGATAAGTTTTTTGTTTAAGTAGATGGAAGGAAGTATTTTCTAAGGAAGGAAGACATTCTGATGCATGAAAAATTTTCAGTTGTAGGAGGAATGAACTATTTGGCAGCGTAAGAAATTCATGATCAAGAACTGAAAAAAGACAGGCAGTGTAGTGAGTATTAACTTGGAGCTCATCAAAACTATCCTCAAATTAACAGCCAGTGGAAACTAGCCTAAAAATGCAGCCATAACAAACTGACTTTTAATGCTTAAGATACCTTTTGAAACTGGAAAAATAATTATTGCAAGATAGTCAGAAAGTACTTACATTACTCATGGAGCACAAGTCAACAAACTGTCGAATTTTATCCTCTATGAATCTCTCATAAAAGGCAGCAAAGAATACAATCTGAAACAGAAGTCACAATCACATGCGTCAGCTTTCAGGGTTTCTATCTGACTAAGAACCACAATGTAATACTTTAAGGAAAAGTCAGTTCCAGCCAAGCACACAGAAGTCTCTAATGGCTCCTATAGGATAAAACCCCACTTGTCATACCTTCAAAGGAAGGGGGATTTGGGAATTATGCTGAGTTACTGAGAGAGTACACTTTGAATTTTAAAAACTTTAAAAACTATGTTAATGAAACAAGGTAAGGCAAAGGTGGGAAGAAAGAAAAAGACTTTAAACTCAGTGCTGAGGAGGAGAAAGGAAGATCCTTGGAGTTCAGTGAGAGATTCTGTCTCAAAAATATGGTGGAGGGTGATTGAGGAAGACACATGATGTCGATCTCTGGCCTCCACATGTCGATCATGTACACCCACATGCTCACATATACACACCCACATGAACATGTACTTACATGTACACACCACATACACATACACAAATTAGCATAAATCAATGTTTTAGTAGCCAGATATATTTTTGCTTTTGCAATTTTGCTAATTTTCTGAATTTTAAAAGCAATTATAAAGTTTTCTAGATTTCAAATTGATCTCTGACAAAATAGCATATAAAAAGCAAATATCTAGGGGCTGGAGACATGGCTCAATGATTAAGAGCACTGGCTGTTCTTGCAGAAGACCTAGGTTCTAATCCCAGCACCCACATGGCATCTAACAACTGCCTATAACTCCATTTCCAGAGGATCCAATGTCCTCTTCTGTCCCCCATAGGCAGTGTATGACACTGGTACACTTACACATATGCAGGTATAACACTCATACACATAAAAATAAATACATAAATAAATAAAATTTTTGAAGAGCAAATATCTAGTGTTCAAATTTTAACTGTGTTAAATACTCAAATGGAATAGCTTTGTGTCTTATTAAATAGATTTAATCATAATACTAAATAAGGAAATTTTATGACTAAAAAGATTTAATAGTAATACTAGATAAGGAAATTTTATGACTAAAAATTTTCAACTATAGACTTTTCTTGATGTTTCAAAGACACACATTTCCTGACCACCCTATCTAAAGCTGTCTCCACTATCTCCAAATCCTAATCTCTACTCCTCTCATCTTTTTAGCTCATATCCTGTCAAATCTCTTCATAGCACTTGTCATAATCTCTAGTTAGTTCTTTTCAGAGTGCATTCATGAGCTCAGTACAGTGTCCAGTACATGAAAGGTACTCACATCTAGGAATGGATAGGAGGCTCTACAGAAGCTGATTTACAGTACTTCCTTAAACACTTTACACTCTTTCTCTCTCTCTCTCTCTCTCTCTCTCTCTCTCTCTCTCTCTGATGATGAAAACCATCATTCAAGGTTTCGTTTTTAATCCCAGCCCTTGGAAGGCAGAGGCAGAGGCAGGCGGATCTCTGTGAGTTCAAGGCCAGCCTGGTCTACATAGTGAGTTCCAGGACAGCTGGGGCTACAGAGAGACCCTGTCTCAAAAAGACCAAAAAAAAAAAAAAAAAAAAAAAGAACGATAAAGCCTGACTGATTATTATAATCCAGAAGTGATTAGACAAAGTGGTAACTGTAACAGGGCAAAAGAACTCACAAAGGTATTTGAGAAATAAGCACAGATAATTTTAGGACATTTCCACAGACAGAAATGCTTTCCTGCTCATCTGAAGGCAAAGTGAGAGCAAAGAATGAAGTGGGTTGTGACTCCCAGGATTGCCAACTACCGACTACTGTTCCAGCCATCCTGCCTCTTTCTCTTTAGTCACAGACCTGTTGTTTGGCAGGACAGATAGGTGACCAGTTTAAAGGCAGTCATCACAGTTGTGGCCACATGACTAAGTTCTAGCCAAGGAGCTACTGAATGGAACTTCTTTATTTAAAAAAAATATATCATTTTATTCTATGGTGTGTGTGTATCTGTGTGTGTGTGTGTGTATGTGTGTGTGTGTGTGTGCACATGCACACAGGTGGACAGAGCCATGAGAAGGTATCAGATCCCCTAGAGCTGGAGCTACAGGCAGTTGAGAGCTGCCTGGTATAGGTGCTGGGAGCCAAACTCTGGTCTTCTGCAAGAGAAGCAAGTGCAATGTTCTAGTTAGCTTTAACTGTCAACTTGACACAGCTTAGAGTCACCTGGGAAGGGAGTCTCAACTGAGGGGATTACCTAAATCAGATTGGCCCTGTGGGCATATCTATGGGGATTGTCCTATTAATTGATATAGGAGGACCCCACCCATTTCTGGGAAGGTGGTTCTGGGTTATGTAAGAAAGCTTAGATAAGCCGGGCGTGGTGGCGCATGCCTTTAATCCCAGCACTCAGGAGGCAGAGGCAGCCAGATCTCTCTGAGTTCAAGGCCAGCCTGGTCTACATAGTGAGTTCTAGTACAGCTGGGGCTACAGGGAGATCCTGTCTCAAAAAAGACCAAAAAAAAAAAAAAGAAAAGATAAAGAAAGCTAGATAAGCATAAGCCTGTAAGTGAACCAGCAAGCAGCGTTCCTCCATGGTTTTGGCTCCAAGTTCCTGCCCTGATGTCCCTCAATGATGGACTGTAACCTGGGAGTGTAAGTCAAATAAATCCTTCTTCCTCTAAGTTGTTTTTGGTCATACTGTTTGTCATAGAAATAGAATGAAACTAGAACACACACTTAACTGCTGAGCCATCTCTCCAGCCCCCAGACTCTTAAAGGGGGAGGGCAAGTAGTCTCTTGATTCCCTCCTGTAAACCCATCAGCCATTACGGCCCAGGAGGTGTCCTACACGGTACAGCAGAACAGGCTTCCGGGTGCTGATGACAGCATGAAGCTACCACTTCAGTCCTGCACTTCTACTCTTCCTTTTCAGGGGAGTGAGAAAGTTTTCTTTTATTTTAGGCATTCCTATTTTGCTTTCTTTTTGTTGTGTTGAATGAAATATGAAAAGTTTTAGGTGGCATTGTTTGAAATTCTCCACAGTAATAATTTTTTCAATCAGATAAAGTTGGTATGTTCACAAAACATAGTGGTATATGCACAAAATCCTATCTATGGTTTTGATGAGAAACAGCAGACCCTATTCACCAACGGATCTCATTTCAAATCTCCCCTCTGTTGTCTTTCTTTCCTGGCTGACATTCACTAGCTCTCCATTACTAGCTCTATCTGTAGCTTCAAGGTGGAACAGATACCATCAATTCACTAAAAATGTTAAATTTTCAAAGTCAATTCTCAAGCTAAGAATGTAGCTGAGTGGCAGCACTTGCTTAGTATGTGTAAGGCCATGAGTTCAATTTTAAGCACCAGGGGGGAAAAAGTCCATTCTGAGGTTATGGAATGTCACCTGAATCCAATTCTGATGAAATAAACTTTCTTAAAGGGATTTTAATTTCTAAAGACTTCTAAAAACAGACTATATTAAGTAGATTAGCTAGGTATTTATTAGCCAGGATATAGCAAGCTAAAGTAGTCTCTCTGAAAGTTCCACCCTAACTTTGAGAAGAGAAGAGCCTCTGCTGGAGTCACAGGATCGTGAGGATTCATTGTGAGTTTGGGTTATTTTAATAAATATTTCAAAGAAAATTCCCAAGACATACTAGCAATTGGACTGAGATACAATGCCAAAACAAACATAAACAGTAAGTAAAAGAAAATCCTCAGTATTAGACATATCTGCCCTACAGTTACATATAAAATAGACAAGGAGTCTGTTCTATGCCCGAGACTCTGAAAGACCCTTCAGAGTCCACAACTGGTAAGAAGTGAACTGTGAAATCAAACAGCCCAGGTTCAAACTCCAGTAAAGCAGCTCAAGTTGTGTGACTTCAAGCACTCATTTAAGCTTTCCGAGTTTCCCTGCCTGTAAAATGAGGTGCTGACTTAACCTGAAGGTTAAAGGACAGACTAAGTAGCTTATATGGGTAAAGAAATGAATGATTCTCATGAGCCTGGATTATGACACAATATAAACCCTATTATCACTGCTTTTGTCTCCTTCTTTCTGCTACAGAAATAGGGTCAATATTTGAGAGTAATCAGTATATGAGTAGAATGACAGAGTTGCAATGTCACTGTGGTATGATCTCTTGTTACCTGTATGATTCCAATGACCAGCCAGATAGCAGTAGACACAGCGTATCTCAAAATGCGGCTATAAGGTGCTAAGTAGTCTGATGGGTTTCTAGAAAGACTAGAGGACGAGTCCATTAATGCTAAGTTCTTGAACCCCACAACCTGGAATAAAAAGGAAAAATGATAATCTAAACAGACACAGGTAAAGAAAACTCTTCTAGACTGAAGATGGACTACTCCTCTCTACTCTTCATTTTTGAAAAACATTTTTTACTGAATTTTTGTGTATTTCATACAGAAAATCATCTTTATACCCCTTCCCCTTTGATACCCTCCCGCAGCCCCCCCAACTGGAGTTCATACCTTTTGTCATCTGTGTTAAGGCCTATCATGTAAAGTTAATATCCCTAGATGTCCCTCAGTCTCTACTCAAAAAAATGAAAAATATCCAAACTCATGAACAGCAGAAAAATCCAGATAAAAATTATCCAATATTTTCACTACCTTATTATTCCCCACACTGACAAACTTAGGTTTTTTTTAAAGAATGAAATTTTCTTCAAATTGCTACCAACTAGCAATTCGTGAACATTTAAGATGTGCAGGTACTAAGCTAAACACGTATTTCAAAACAATATATTGCAAAATGTCTCCCAAAGAATGTCCCTTCTTGGTGAAATAAAGACAGTTAAGTAGATTTGCTGTGTACTTAACACTCACTGCCATGCCTCTCCCCCTCAGAAAACAGACTTTCAGATTTTTACAGTAAGGTCCCTACATGTTTTCTTCAAATGAATATTTTTTGCTTTTTGAGACAGGGTCTCATTAGCCTAGGCTTAGGTTGGAACTTGCTATGTATAGGATGATGACCTTGATCTTTGATTCTGTCCTGCCTCCACCTCCCAAGTGTTGGGATTACAGGCATGTGGTACCACGTCTGGTTCGTCAAACAGTATTTTATTTTATTTTATTTATTTATTTATTTATTTATTTTTAATATTTTGTCATTTTTATGTGTATGTATGTATTGCCTGCATGTAGGTAAGTGTACCTGATACTGCTTTACCCTGGGCATGGTGGCGCATGCCTTTAACCCCAGCACTCAGGAGGCAGACAGAGGCAGGCGGATCTCTAAGAGTTCCAGGCCAGCTCGGGCTACAGGGAGAAAAAGATCAAAAACAACAAGAACAACAAAAAATACTGCTTTACCAAAAAGATAAGTATGTAAGGCAGGATAATTGTTTATTAGTTTAATTTTATCCATTACATATGTATACATATATTGACATATGTTTTACACTATGAACATATAATTTGGGGGGGTATGTTAGGGATTAAATTTAGGGACTCATACATGCTATGTATGTGCTCTATCACTGTATCCTCCAGTACCCCTTCCTTTTCTTTTAAAATTTTATTTGCTTTTATTTTACGTGTACGAATGTTTACCTGCATGTATGCAAGTGCACCCATGTGTGCAAACCTGTAGAGGCCAGAAGAGAGTGTTGGACCCCCCCGGAACTGTAGTTACAGATGGTTGTTAGCCACCATGTGGGTGTTGGGAACCAAACCTGGGTCCTCTGCAAAGAGCAGCCAGTGCTCCTAACCGCTGAGCCATTTCTCCAGCTCCTCCCTTTTAACTATTTGGAGACAGAGCATTGGCAAGTTGCCCAGGCCGGCCTTGCACTCACTCTGTAGCTCAGGCAGGTCTTGAATTTGTAACCCTCCTCCCTCAGCCTCTCAAGTGGCTGGGATTGCAGGCTTGCACCACCAGACCTGGCTCTACTTATCAACTAAAAAAATGAACAAACAAGTAATATCAACAACAAAAAGTACTGGTTTAACTGAAATTGTGAAGTACTGCAAATATGAGTTATAGTGATACATTCATAATTGAAATAGTTTTAAAAGTAGAAAAAAATGAAAAAAGGGAAAGAAAGATGGATAGTAAGAGTGGATAATTTCTTTTTTATATGTTTTATTTATTATTTTTATTTTATGTTTATGAGTGTATTGCCTGTATGTATGAGAGTGCACCTGTGTGTGTCATGCAATGCCACGGAGGTCAGAAGAGGGCTTTGGATTCCCCTAGAACTGGAATTAAGGATGGTTCATAGCTGCCATGTGGGTGCTGGGAATCATACCCGGGTCCTCTACAAGAACAGTCAGTGCTCTTAACCGCTGAGCCATCTCTCCAGCCCCAAGAGTGAATAATTTCTATTCAGTCTCACTAAGGCAGAGAGCTCTGTAACCTGCCAAACATACTGATGTTTCCATCTCATGTTCAACACTGAATTCTTCTTTGATGATTCCAACCAGATCCATGAAATAATTTCAAATGTGTCATTAACTTTCTTGTAGCCCTCCCTTTTAGTACCAAATGTCATCCAAATGGGCATTTTAAAGAAAATGCATTGAAAGATATTGAATGTGTAACCATGGTTCTGATGCAGGGGTGAGACTATGGATCATGTGGGAGGGGGAGTTTTGAAAGTATACACACGAGTTCATCTACCTGACCTCTAAGGACAGGAGACATTTTATAGACGTTCACCAGGGGATTCTGCTACAGAGTAACGGTAGAAAAGCTACTCTTTAAAGTCAGAGTAGTCAAATTCATGGAGATAGAAAAATAGAAAGATGGTAAAGCCAGGGCCTGAGGGGATGAAGGAATGGGTAATACAGCTATCTAATAGGAGCAAACAGTTTCATTTTTGCAAGATGAAGAGTTCTGGAGAACGGTGGTGGCTAGAGCTTTGTACAACAATGTGGATGTATCTAACAGTACTGAGTTGCACACTTAAAAGTGGTTAAGATGCTAAACTTTCAAAGTGTTTCATCACAATTTAATTTTGTTTCTGTTTATTTTATAAGAAGGATAAAGATAAAAGTGAGGGTACCATACTTTTCTAAAAAGACACTGCTTTTTAATGTTTTGATAACAATATTTTAAACCACAGAAAAGTATTCCACTGTCCTGAGAACTTAGTTGGAATTATATTAGCATTTATGAATACTAGTAAGTTGCATTCAGTTCCATCAATTACATTAAATAGTTTATACCTCCAAAAAGAAGAGGATGGTAAGTACTTGAAAGAGTGGATTAATTTTTCTCACAGTCTGAATCTCATTCCACTCATTTGCTACAAAGTATGTTCTCCATATGCTTACGGGAACAGTGGCACTCCGTATGCCGCCCTCACCTGTTGGGGAGATTAAATGAGTAAACACCTTTCTTCTTTGCTCTACAAGGGTAGCAAAAGAATTCTGGCATAAATGTTTAATTACCTTCAACAGCTTTAAGAACTTTCCCTTTAGGCCGTTCCCAATCAATAAAGAATATATCTATGGTAATCTGGGATATGAGCTTATGTAAAAATTGCAGAGCCTAAAAATAACATACAACAGAACACCTGAAAAGTATCATCATTTAACCCTTATTACAAAATAAATATTAATTCCTTATAAAACACAGTGTAATCACAAGAGTGCATGCTTTTTACTGGTGACTTCACATTAAATGATAATACCATTAGGGAGTGACTAGATGTTCATCATATACTCTAGAATCATCAAATATACAGAATTGTCATGTACCTATTAATTACTTCCTTTTTCTTTTCTTTCCTTAAAAATAGGGCCATGAAACAAAGGCTAAATTCTTCTTGCTCCTCCCTTATAGGCCCTATGCAAATTGACTTTCTTCTGCTAGCTTTGTATAGTATCTGACCTTTTCACATGTAAGGGTATTTCTCAAGTGCAATTTGCTAAGCCTAACTAAAGTTATAGGATGTTTTCACTGTCTTTATTCTATCACTGGAGCTGAGATGGAAAACACCATGTTGCTGAAATGCATTTTCTCATTTTATGGGAGCAATCTGTTTAAGCTGAGGCATTTCTGAAGCATTACGATCAAAGGATAAAATCCAAGTTCAGGAAGGTAACTCTCCTAAAAAGCCCCTTCTTGGTTGGAAAGGCAGGTACTTTGCCATCACAGGTCAACGGGATGAGGGCTACCAAACATGTAAGTAGAGAGCCTGCGCCTACAGGGATGGGGTCTCTTGAGCTGAGGGGTGGTTGTCAAGAACGATGAAGAGGAAAGATGAAAAGAATGTCTAAGATTCAGCACTTTATCCAGGTTTGCCTTTTATTTTTGATTGACAAAGAGACAAAATCCATGATGGAAGGGATTTTGTCCCATTATGAATGCATTGCTGGGTTTTAAGGGAGACAGTTAAACAATGAAATATCATTTTATCAAATTAGCTGCAATTCATGATTGCTTAAACATGTTTATCGCTTTTTTTAATATTTTGTTTACTATTTTTATTTTATGTGTATGTGTGTATGGTCTGCATGTAGGTAAGTGCACCCATGTCATGCAATGCCCGCAGAGGACAGAGAGGCTGTCGGATCCCCTGGAACTGCAGTTATGGACAGTTGTTAGCTGCCATGTGGGTGCTGGGATTCAAACCCGGGTCTTCTGCAAGAACAGTCAGTGTTCTTAACTGCTAAGCCATCTCTCCAGCCCCTGTTTATAGTTTTTTTGAAAGCAATGATTTAAAGCATATTTTTAAATACGCCATTGTAAATAAAGGCATATTTCCTATGTAAAATAAAACAACTGATTCTTTCAAAATCAAAGTAAATTTTATACCAACAAATTTGAAAGCACTTTAATTTTAAAGGCTTACTAGCTTATTAGCAGGCTTTTGAAATTCAGTAGCCTGTCCTTTGAAACTTACCTTCATAGCAAAGGCACAGCCGACATATGTAACAAAGCGTTCCTCCTGAACTGGCATTGGCAACAAAACAGAGACAGACTTTTGTGCCTATGATAAAAATTCCTTGGTCAATAAAAATCACACAAGGTTTTTACTGCACAATTTAGAAACCAATGGAAACATAAAAGAGGCAGATAGTGAAGCGCTCAATAAATGGCACACTATGGGATGCTGAGGTTAGCATCTGCCTCAGTATGCTTGATCAGAAATGCCCTCAGATAAAAATAGTTCCTTCAAAAAACAGTGTACCAGTTTCCAGGTATTGGCATTTAGCTTAATTCAGAAACTCACTCACTTTGAAGAAAATAAGCCAGTAAAGACCAGTTCCCACCGTGATGATAAAAAAGACATCAGCCAGATCGCCAGCATAGTAAACCAAGAACTTCATAACGGTCTGCAATTTAAAAAGAATTACAGTTGTTAAAGATCCCACTTATTACCACTTTTAGTACAGTATATTACTTTTTTTTTTTTTTTTTTGGTCTTTTTGAGACAGAGTCTCCCTGTAGCCCCAGGTGTCCTGGAACTCACTATGTAGACCAGGCTGCAGGCTGGCCTTGAACTCACAGAGATCCACCTGCTTCTGTCTCCCGAGTGCTGGGATTAAAGGCATGCGCCACCCTGCCCTGGCAGAGTATTACTTTTAAGGATTTAATATCCTTGTTTTAAAAAAGTTATTTCTTATTGTGTGTGTGCACAGGTATGTGTACCATGGAGTGGATATGGAGGTCAGGGAACAACTTGTGGAGCCAGTTCTCTCCTTCTACCTTTATATGGGTCCTAGGGATTGAGCTCACTCAGGTCATCAGGTTTGCACAGCAAGCACCTTTACACACTGAGCCATCTGCTGGCCCATGAAGACACTACTTCTTATTTATTTATCTATTTTTTGTTGTTGTTCTTTTTAAAGCAGGGTCTCCCTGTAGCCCCAGCTGTCCTGGAATTCACTATGTAGACCAGGCTGGACTTAAACTCAAAGAGATCCACCTGCCTCTGCCTCCCAAGTGCTGGGACTTCAGGCATGCGCCACCACGCCCGACTTATTTATCTATTTTTAAAAAATATTTTATTATTTTTATTTTATATGTATGAGTGTACTGCCTGCATGTATGAGAGTGCACCCATGTCATGCAATGCCATGGATGTCAGAATAGGGCTTCGGATTCCCCTGGAACTGGAGTTAAGGAGAGTTCCTAGCTGCCATGTGGGTGCTAGGAATTGAACCTGGGTCCTCTGCAAGAGCAGTCAGTGCTCTTAACTGCTAAGCCATCTCTCCAGCCCCTTATTTATCTATTTTTAAAAGATTTATTTTCAGCAGAGCGTGGTTGCACATGCCTTTAATCCCAGCACTTGGGAGGTAGAGGCAGGTGGATCTCTGTGAGTTCAAGGCCAGCCTGGTCTACATAGTGAGTGCCAAGTGGGCTGGGGTTAAGGGAGACCTTGTCAAGAATAAAACAAAAATCTTTGTGAGGATTAAGTAAATTATAAATATAAAGCATTACAAAGTACCTGGCACACAGTAAATATTTAATAAATGTTAGATAAAAAAACTTACAAAGATGAAATGAGAAGTAAAACTATAAAGTTGATGGAATAAGATGTGGAAGAGCATCATTTTGGTGTTGAGATGGGAAGGTTTTCGTAAACAAGGTATTGGACAAACATATATAACACAAAAATTCACATGATAATACTGAAATTAAATTTTAATTCCATGTCAAATGCTCATTATATATTAAATGTAAAAGAGTCACATAAATAACAGGTAGGTCATATATTTGCAGAAAAGATTTCAACATTAAAAGCCCAAAGGGAAATTAATGGTTAGAAAATACAAACTCCTTCATACAGATAAGAAAATTACAGGGCTAGAGAGATAGCTAGGTAGTTAAGAGCACTTACTGCTCTTTCTGAGGAACTTGGTTTGGTTCCTAGCATCCAGACGGTGGCTAACAAGCACTTGAAATTCCAGTTCCAGGGGACCAAATACCCTCTTCTGGCCTCTGTGGGCATCACATGCATGTGGTACATTTACATACATTCAGGCAAAACACTTATACACATAAAAATAAATTTTAAAAATTTTAAAATAAATGAGAACACCAAGAAGTCTAATAGAAAAAGAGTTCACAGAAAGGGAAACCCAAATGATTAAAAAGCGCATAAATAGCTCTGCTTCCCTGGACCTGCACGACCCAGAGGCCTCTCTCCAGGGTAAGTCGATCATGCCCCCCTGCCTTGACTCCCCCAGCCTCATTCACCTTTCCATCTCCCCTGCCCATCTCTCCTCCTAGCCTGGGTCCTGTCCCATTCCTTGTTTTGGCGCCCTAGACACAGGAGGGTGGCAGGGGATGACTACCACTGCTTCCTGATCCTCTGCATCCAGACCAACCCAGTTCCTTCTTAGGTCCCCAGCAGCCCTCTGGGCCTGGCCCCGCCCTCACTTCCCTCTACTTCCCTGATCTGCATAACCTACCAGCCTCTTTCCTGGATGCTGGGGCTGACCTCTTAGCTTCCTGATCCTTTGAATCCAGACCAACCCAGTTCCACAGTGCAGTCCCCAGGAGTCCTTGGGGACTCCTCCCACCCCCACCTCCCTTTGCAGGTGTGTTAGCCTCTTCAGCATCTCTGGGTGGCATGGCCACCAGCTGCCCTAGACCAGCATCTTTCCTGGGCCTGGCTCCCAGGCCAGTCCAACCCCTAAATTCCTGAGGCCAAAATCTTTCCTGGCGGGATCCAGACTTTAGGAGAAAGCCTGAGAGCATCTGATCCTCATCTGACTTGGGCCTCTGTGGGAACTCCTGAAGGCAAAAGCAATCTGACGACAACAAAATAAAATCAAAAGAGAGAATGGGAAGCTAAGAGGAAACAGCATTTCATGCCTAAAAAGTAAACCATAAAGACATGTAAAGTTTACAAAAAGAAGCAGACCTAAACATGAAGGCTTAGTCTCACACAAGAATCAGAAACTACAAAAGAAACTCACATGTCAGAATCACAGAGAAAAAATAATAACATGAAAAACCAAAATAACATATCCCCACCAAATACCAGTAGTCCTCTAGAGGAG